CTTCATATAAAGATTCATCAGCTTCTTGGGCAAAATTTAGAATCGAACTTCGTAATAAAGCAGTCTTCTCTGCAGGATAATATTTATTATAGAAATTCAAAGCAAGAGAATTCCAGTCAGTAATACCAAGAGCAGTTTTATTCAATCCATTATACCACAATTTAGGTTTACCACATAAAGAAAAGGGAAAAAGAATCTCCCTGATTTGGTCCTGCTTGACCCCAGCTTGTCTGATGGTATTGCAATATTGAAAAAATTCCAAAATATGAAGATTAGGATCTTCATTCTTAGCTCCGCCAAATTGCTTCCTTTCGATCATAGTAATAAACAGGGGTTTGATCTCAAATTCTACTCCCTCGAGATCTAGTGGAGGAGCAATATGTGGAAGATCCGTCAGGGACGGTTGCAAATAATCGTTGAGCTTGCGAGGTGGTTGAGCCGCCATTGATTATTCTTTGAAGATATTTCTGTGTCACTAGAATCAGATGGAGGGTCCAAAGGAATCATACTCCCGAAACCTGCCAGTATTTGTTTGTAGAGATTCTTTTGTCTATGAAAAGAGCGCTCGATCTCAAGAACAAATGGGATATAACCTGATCTATAACACCTGGGCATAAACAAAGAACTAAACAACAAATATGAAAACTGTCCAAAAGAACCTACGTTCTCTGAGATGAAGAAAAATAATCTAGACTACAAAAATAATTAGAAATATATATAAAACCGTTTCCCCGGGGCAACGACGCCAAATTTTGACAAGATCTAGTTGAAATCACCAAATCAAAAGTAATTCCTAAGTCCTCTAACTAAGGTAGATAGGGAAGTAGGGTCGAATCCACATGAAAACAAAGTCTTTCTATTCCTAAATAATTAAAATAGTCTAAAGTATTAAGTAACCAAATTGTTTTTATGAGAATTAAACTAAGGAGAATAAAATAACTAATGCGAATAAAAAAAAGGAAAAACGATAAATCAAGCCTATTGTGTTTCGAGGTTTTTTATGTGTCCTACGGGAGAGTTTCAACACCAAAACTAGCCTCTGGACGCCTGTACCTGCAAAACAACGGAGACTCCCGGGGGTGGGAGTTCCGCCTCCGACGATCAAGTTAGAACGTGTTCGGATGTAAAAGATGCGGAACATAAAGGGGATCAGGCTCCTCTTAGAAGAGAAGTGATCATCCGAATATCTCAGATAGCCTCAAAATCCGATCCTTAACTCTCAAGAAGTGCAATTAAAGCTGGAGTTAATGCTCAGCAATTAATGTACACATGTGTTTAATAATTTCTGAATCTCCGTGTTCCCGAGGGGGAACATCTCCCTTTTATAGGGTCTTGAAATATGTGCCCATTCCTAGGTTTCTAAAACCTAGGACTGACTGGGCTTGCCTTGGAATTTGGGCCGTTAAAGGCCACTTTCCTAGGTGGCAATCCATCTGCCACGTGTCGAGGCCTGATTGGTCCACCTTGGACCTCTCACGAGGCGACACGTGGCGGACTCTGGTTGGTCCACGTGGATGACACATGGCAGATTTCAATTAGTCCACGTGGCGGGAAAAAATCCCCTAATCATTTTCCCCTCACAGGGGTGACGTGGCTTGCCACGTGGTGCTTGTGCAGATGTCACACTCTGATTGGCCAACGGTTTTTAGTGTTTTTTTTTTTTTTACTGTCTCTTGAAATTCACCCCCCTATAAAAAGGGATGTCCAAATCATTTGTTTGGACGTTCTAGAATTTTCAGACTTTGGACTTTAGCCCTTGACATTTTCTTGGAGAACGACTACCGCTTGCTACCTGACCGCCTGGTCTTACAACCGCCATATGATGTGTTCATTTTACATAGTATTTTATCCCCGTCCCGTGATCATAGTTAGGAGTATTTTTGGCTCTTTGGAGCCACTTTTATTACTAATAGGCGTTTTCTAGTGTTTTCGTAGTTGTGGTATTATTTTATAGGAAATTTCAGAATCGGAGCACTTCCCCGTACTTAGTTGAGCCACCGCGAGCATTGGAGCGGGAACGCATTGCTATGATCGTATTCCGAAGCCCAGGACCGTATTTGAGAAGTTAATCCGGTGATTAAGGGCTTGGTGAAGAGAAGAGGAGCTCGAGCATTGGATCCGTTAAGGAATGTATATTGGGCCAAGAAGTGCAAGCCCAAAGAATTTGAAGAAGAGTCCTTGCCCGAGCACTCGCCCGATCGGGCAGGGCTTCGCCTAAAGGCGCGCCCGACCGGGCGAGGGAGATAGTAAAGGGAGAGCTTTGCCGGGACGCGCGCCTGACCGGGCCCGAGCAAAGCATTAGAAAGAAAAAAGGCGCGCCCGACCGGGCGGTGCCTCACCCGACCGGGTGCGTGTTTTTATTAGGAATTTTAATTTGTTTTAGCTTTTTCTTTAATTAGTTTTAGGAGCTTAGTATAAATACCTTCGGTTGCTAAAATTGTAGCACGTTTTTAGACCGATAATTACGTTTTTTTAGATTAATTTCCAGATTTTTGCTTAAGCTTTGTTCTTGATACTCTTGTTCACTCTACATTCTTTGATTTATGCAATTCATCCTTTCCATTTAATTTGGTAACGATTTCTTTCCTTTTTATTTTCAGTAATTTAATTGCTTTGGTTAATTATGTTTTGTTTGATTATTTTGTTTAGCTTAGATTTGATTATGAGTGAGTAGATTTATTTCTATGGTTATGGGGAACCATGAATATATGAAGGGGTAATTTATTATTGTTAATTATTAATGATTGATTAATTTCCTATTGATTGATTTAATACTATACAATTAGATTTGCGCAGGTTTAATTGTATGAGTTTTGCAATATTGATTCGAGATTCGAGAGATGAGAATTGGTGTTTAGGCTTAGTTTCAATAGGCATGTTAATCTATAAATGGTTAAGTCAAGATTCGAGAGATGCGATTTAATACCGGTAGATTAATTATGTGATTATGATACGTAGCGACAGCCCTTTATAATCTGGTTAATTTATGCATTAATGATTGATTGTTATTTTTACCCTGGAGTATTATTTATTGGTGAACCTATACCCTAGATCTTTTATTATTGATTATTCCCTCGTTTAATTTGCTTAATTTAATTATTAGTATAATTCACACAACACAAATTGGTTACTTGATGATTTAGATTATAATAATTAATTAGGAATAAAAGAACTTTGTTTCCCTGTGGATTCGACCTTACTTCCCTAACCTAAGTCCTATAACTAAAGTAATTCCTAAGTCCTCTAACTAAAGTATGAGTTTTACACCATGTTTTATCCCGGTTTTACAGCGTATATTTGCATGGGTTTAGGCTCTTTGGAGCCATTTCTCTCTAAAAATCTCTTCTCTAGTGTGTTCGATCTATTTTTATGAGTTTCATAGGAATGCGGAGTTTCTTGGATGAATCGAACACGTTTTGGATGTTTATAGAAGAAGTTAGTGCACGGAAGGATCATTTCCCCCATGCCTTGTAGACCCTAGCTTGCTCGGTCAGACAGGGAAAAGAAGGATGAGCAGAATATGGAGTATGCGTTGCAGCCCTTAAGTGCCCGATTGGGCATGTCTTGCCCGGTTGGACCGGGCATAGAGGAGTTAGAAGATAGCTAAGAATTTCGAAGGCAACAAGTAATTTGAAGGCCGCTCGCGCGCCCGATCGGGCATGGTCCGCTCGGTGGGATCGGGCACGTGGTGGAAGAAGAACTGCGAAGAGGAAGAAGCGCCGTATCCCAGCCGCCCGATCGGACATAGCTCACCCGGTTGGACCGGGCACTGCCTTGCGGAATCCGACTTGCTTATTTTCGTAATTTTATCTTTTTAAGGGTATAAATACCCTTTGTAATCACAATTAGAACACACATTATTATATCCTCTAGTTTTAGTTTTCTCTAAGAACCCTAGTTTTATTCCCTTTAAAGCTATTTAATTTCTACTCTTAGTTTGATTATTTTTCATCAACAATTCAAGTTCTTTCAATTGAAGCAATTTTGGTATTCATCTATCTCACTTCTCTTTCATTTATTATTGCTTATTGATTATGTTTTCTCTATTAAATCTTGTTATTGGTTTTGTTATTATGTGTGAGTAGATTTATAATCCGGGATCTTGCAAAGCCCAAATATGATTAATGCTTAGGTTTAATCTTTAAATTCTCCAATAATAGTTCCAATTGACATGCTTGATTGATTGTGTTTATGCCAATACTAGATTAGGAATAATTGGTATTGTTATCATCCCTTTGTTCTTATTGCAACGGAAGTTGAATATTAACGGGATTTGGGTATTGCAATTAAGGGTTTGAAGGTCATCACGGAAGTAGATGATTGAATGATTATGAAGTTAAGTATAGTATTTAATGTCCCTTATTTGCTTGATTCCATGGAAATAGGCTTGATAATTGATTTGGGAAGCCATTAATAACTCGGGAGAGACCTTTGGTATTGATTAGGGAATGCTTTTCCTCTTGTCGATTGAATTGTTATTGGGGGTAGAATTATTTATGCATTGATTATATTCGTGGTAATGCTTGATCTTAGATGCTTTGGTTCATTGATTTATCACATTCTTTAGATTAATTGAGTCCTTTATTTATTAGTTCTTAGAATTTCATCACCATTGATTTGTTACTTGCTTAGTGATTACTTGAGTCTATTTAATTAGGTGAACCTTAGTCTCTTGGGATTCGATCCTTACTTGCCCGTCTACACAGTAGTGGTCTCGTTTGGTTTATTTTTGTTAGGTACGCGACACGCCTATCAAATTTTGGCGCAATTGCCGGGGACTAACGGTTTTCGTCTAGTTATTTCTGATTTCGTTTTTACTAAGCTTTTGATTTGTTGCTTCGGCTATTGCCCCTTGTATTTTTGATCTCCTCTTTTTAGTTCTTTGTTGCATGCAAACTCGATGTTCAGGTTTAGACAGCTTAACACCTTTTGACTCTGAAATCAAAGCTACTGCAAGGAGACAAAGAGGTAGAAGAAGGAGATATCAAAATACAAGTAAAATGGCCGAAAGAATCAAATCTTTACTGGAGTACGACATTCCTGATACCGCAACCGAGCTCCTATCCAGCATTGTCAGACCACCCATTACCGCTCAGAGCTTTGAATTAAAACCTCAATTCATACAGTTCATCTCTAATGACTTATTTGCAGGCACACCTCATGAATGCCCTGTTAGTCACATAGACGGTTTCTTGGAGAAGTGTGACGCCATAAAGCTCGACAGTGTTACTGATGATGCTATCAGACTTCGTTTGTTCCCTTTTTCACTACGGGATAGAGCGAAGGAATGGTTACGAGACGAAGGTATAGGTTCCTTTGATACATGGGATAAGCTTGCCAAAGCTTTCTTAGTAAGATTTTTAGGGCAAGAGAAGACTGCAAGGTTAAGGAACGAGCTAGCTACCTTTCGTCAATTTGATGATGAGTCTTTATATGAGGCATGGAGAAGATTCAAGCGCTTACAGAGACAATGCCCTCATCACGGTATCCTAGAGTGGATGTTGATCCAAACATTCTACAATGGTCTGACCCATGAGTTCCGCATATACATTGATGCTGCATCCGGGGGTTCTCTCATGACTAAGAACCCAACTGAAGCCAAAGAGCTAATTGAGAAAATGGCAGCCAATGATAATTATCATCCAGGAGGTCGACATAGTGTGAAGAAGGCAGGTAAATTAGATGTTGATGCTCTAACTCTTTTGACTAGCTCTGTGCAGGCATTAACAAGCAAGTTTGACAGACTCCAAGCCAGAACATCTACTAGCTCACCGGAGACTTGTCAGATGTGTAATGTGCAGGGTCACATTGCACCTAATTTCCCCAAAAATTCCAGTGAGATGTCAATTAAGGAGGCCACTGCATTCTACACCTCTAATCCTAAAATGCCGTATGATCCTCATTCAAACACATACAATGAAGGATGGAGAAATCATCCGGATTTCTCTTATATGAACACTCAAGCTCAATTAAATTCTCCGTCACCACCACCTAGTTTTCAAGCAAGGGAATCCTTTAATCACCAACCCATGAATCAACAACTACCACCGCAAACTTCAAAATACAATCTTGATTCCATTATGGAGACTTTCACTACTTCCTAACTTCGACAGCAAGAGCTTATGACAAAGCAATTTGAGCTACAAGAAAAGCAAAATGAACACTTTGAAAGCTCGATTCAAATGCTTATTGCTCAAAATAAGAGGATAGAAACTCACCTTTCTCAACTTTCACAACAAGTGAGTCATTTATCAACACTTCATGATCAAGCAAAAGTCCAAAAGGAACAATGCAATGCAGTTTTCTTGAGAAGAGATGAATTATTTTCGAGGAAAATAGATGAGAAAGTGTGCAGTGTGGAGTCAAGAAAAGATGAAAAGTGTGAGGATGTAAAAAGTCCAAAATATGTTGCTCCACCGGCCTATGAGGAACCGATGCCCTTCTCGCAAAGGTTGTCAAAAGCTGTGCTCGATTAACATTTTGGGAAATATTGCGAGACTCTTAAAAAGGAACATGCTTCCATTCCTTTTTCTGATCTTTTAATTCAAATTGCCTCAATTTGCAAAATTTGTGAAGGAAATTAAAGATCAACATGATGATAAGGAAGTGGTAAATGAGAAATGCTCTACTCTTTTACGTGATAGCCTACCACCTAAGCTGCATGATCCTGGTAGTTTTACTATTCCCTGTATGATAAACGTTTTTTGACAGGGTTTTGTGTGATTTAGGTGCTAGTGTAAATTTAATGCCTTATTCATTATATGAAAAATTAGGTTTGCAAAAACTTAAACCTTCCCCTATTTCTCTTCAAATGGCTGATAGGACTGCTAGACTCCCTAAGGGTGTGGTTGAGGATGTATTAGTTAAGGTTGGTGAACTTGTTTTTCTTGTTGATTTTGTTGTTATGGAAATGAAAGAAGACCATAAGATCTCGATTATATTTGGTCGCCCATTCCTTGCCACAAGTCAAGCTCTAATAGATGTTCCTAAAAGACAAGTGATCATTAGGGCCCTGGATAAACAAGTAGTGTTAAAGCTCTTTAATGAACATAATTTTATATTTTATGGTGGTACTTGTTTAAGAATTAATGCTACTAACCCTTTGCTTGATAAGTGTGTATGTGATAGAAATCTTGTGAGAAACGAGGACAATATTCCATCAAATGATGTGCTTAGCTACATGAAAGTAAGTTCGGATACAAAGCATGTCAAATATAAAATGAAGGGGTCATTTAGAGGCGGATATTTTTATGGGCAACATCGCGGAGTTTCTTTTTTGTGTGGTGACCCAGGCTGAGCTAATAAAGAAGGTCAAGCTTAAGACCTTAAACAAGCGCTAAATGGGAGGCAACCCATTCCTTTTTATTTTATTTTTTTATTTTATTTTTTTTCCTTTTACATTTTTATTTTCCTGTTTTGTTAGTGTCTAGAAAACAAACAAACAAAAGGGTCATCACCACCCCGAGGTAATTTTCCAACTCCCACACGTTGCAATGAGGTCGTTGCCGAGTGTAGCTTGGGGGAGACTTGTGTATATCTATCTCGGCATGTTCTCTTATTTTCCTTTGCTTTGTTGGTTTGTTTTTATTGCTGTGGTTTCTATTGCTTTGGTAGTACAAAAAAAAAATGAAAAATACGAGAATCATGATAATGAACGACTAATGAACTACTTCCCTGTGCCCCTATCCTTAATTCCAAAAGGTTTTTGATTTAATCTCGATTGAAAGATTTGCATTGCGAATTAAATGATCATGATTTGACCTCGAATTGTTTGATCCCTTGTGGGAGTCAACGTTGTTAACCATGTATGAGTTTGGAGCTTGATTGTGTTAACTGTGAGGCTCGAACCTTAATTATTCATTCATGTGTTTAGTTCCTGGTGTGATGTTGATCTTAGTTTTGACTCTAGACTTAAGTAATGTGTCATAATACATTATTGCACGTGCATGTTGAGAAGGACGAAGGCCATGTTCTTTAGGTGACCTCCAGACGAATTTAGAAATGTATGTTCCCTTCTTGCTCACCCATGTTGTAGCCTTGACCATATTTTTCATAAAAGTCACAAAATTAACCCCTTGTTCGTAATTTGGTTACTTTTCCCAAGTCTAGATTGGGGGAGCTTATATCATGGTGTTTGTGTTATTTTGTGATGTAATTGGTGCTTAATGTGGGAGCTCTTAAAAAAAAGAAAAAAAGAAAAGAAAAGAGAAAAGAAAGAATCATAAGCATGGAGGTTTTATTCTTGAAAAGTGAAAAAAAAGGAACAAAGAAAAAAATTGATACAAAAGAAAAGGAATTTTGTTCTTGAAAAGAAAAGAAAGAAAAATTGATAGAAAAGAAGAGAAAAAAAAGAAGAAAGGAATTGGAAATTTGAAGAATATAAAGGTAGTAGTGGATGTTCTTGATGTAATTGGGGTATGTGCTTTTGTTAATGAGAACGATGGATCGAGGATGTTTATTGATTGCATTTGATAGCTCCCCGGTTAGACTATGATCGCCTACATTTCCCAAATTTATTTCCTACCCACTTTTACCCGGCTTACATTACAAGCTTGAAAAAGACCTTCTGACCTTCGTGCATGGTATTGTGTTCATGTGAAATGAGTCTTTTGTCAAAATGCTGGAGTATATGTCACATTTCGAGTCGACATTTGACTAGGTTGAGCGATAATATAACCCTTTAAACACGCGAGTGTTGTGAGATGGGGGGTTTGCATTATTGGTGGGGATGGCGAGGGATCGAGCTCATTTTTAGCTTGCCACATAAATAGTGTGTTGAGTGACCACCAAGGTGAGATACTCTAGTCATCGATTCTTGAGTTGTACATGGTTGATCTCGCTTGACGACTATTTAGGTTGATTGATGGTTTGAGTGATTTGATTGGCTGGCTAAGATGCATGCTTATTTGATTTCGATTTTGAGTCCTTTGTTTAAAATTGCATTATGGGGTGAAGTATGTTTACTTGGTTGTTTGTCATTTTTGATTACCTTGCTTGAGGACAAGCAAGAAGTTAGCTTGGGGGAATTTGATGTATGAGTTTTAAACCATGTTTTATCCTGGTTTTACAGCGTATATTTGCATGCTTTTAGGCTCTTTGGAGCCATTTCTCGATAACAATCTCTTCTCTAGTGTGTTCGATGTATTTTTGTGAGTTTCATAGGAATGCGGAGTTTCTTGGATGAATTGAACAAGTTTTGGATGTTTATAGAAGAAGTTAGTGCACGGAAGGATCATTTCCCTCATGCCCTGTTGACCCTAGCTTGCCTGGTCAGACAGGGCAAAGAAGGATGAGCATAATATGGAATATGCGTTGCAGCCCTTAAGTGCCCGGTTGGGCATGTCTTGCCTGGTTGGACCGTGCATAGAGGAGTTAGAAGATAGGTAAGAATTTCGAAGGCAGCAAGTAATTTGAAGGCCGCTCGCGCGCCCGATCGGGCATGGTCCGCTCGGTGGGACCGGGCACGTGGTGGAAGAAGAACTGCGAAAAGGAAGAAGCGTCATATCCCAGCCGCCCGATCGGACATAGCTCACCCGGTTGGACCGGGCACTGCCTTGCGGAATCCGACTTGCTTATTTTCGTAAATTTATCTTTTTAAGGGTATAAATACCCTTTGTAATCACAATTAGAACACACATTATTATATCCTCTAGTTTTTCTCTAAGAACACTAGTTTTATTCCCTTTTAAGCAATTTAATTTCTACTCATAGTTTCATTATTGTTCATCAACAATTCAAGTTCTTTCAATTAAAGCAATTTTGGTATTCATCTATCTCACTTCTCTTTCATTTATTATTGCTTATTGATTATGTTTTCTCTATTAAATCTTGTTATTGGTTTTGCTATTATGTGTGAGTAGATTTATAATCCAGGATCTTGCAAAGCCCGGATATGATTAATGCTTAGGTTTAATCTTTAAATTCTCCAATAATAGTTCCAATTGACATGCTTGATTGATTGTGTTTATGCCAATACTAGATTAGGAATAATTGGTATTGTTATCATCCCTTTGTTCTTATTGCAACGGAAGTTGAATATTAACGGGATTTGGGTATTGCAATTAAGGGTTTGAAGGTCATCACGGAAGTTGATGATTGAATGATTAGGAAGGTAAGTATTGTGTTTAATGTCCCTTATTTGCTTGATTCCATGGAAATAGGCTTGATAGTTGATTTGGGAAGCCATTGATAACTCGGGAGAGACCTTTGGTATTGATTAGGGAATGCTTTTCCTCTTGTCGATTGGATTGTTATTGGGGGTAGAATTATTTATGCATTGATTATATTTGTGGTAATGCTTGATCTTAGATGCTTTGGTTCATTGATTTATCACATTCTTTAGATTAATTGAGTCCTTTATTTATTAGTTCTTAGAATTTCATCACCATTGATTTGTTACTTGCTTAGTGATTACTTGAGTCTATTTAATTAGGTGAACCTTAGTCTCTTGGGATTCGATCCTTATTTGCCTGTCTACACAGTAGTGGTCTCGTTTGGTTTATTTTTTATTAGGTACGCGACATGCCTATCATCGGTCTAAAAACGTGCTACAATTTTAGCAACCAAAGGTATTTATACTAAGCTCTTAAAACTAATTAAAGAAAAAGCTAAAACAAATTAAAATTCCTAATGAAACACGCTCCCGGTCAGGCGAGGCACCGCCCGGTCGGGCGCGCCTTTTTCCTCTCTAATGCTTTGCTCGTGCCCGGTCGGGCGCGCGTCCGGGCGAAGCTCGCCCTTTACTATCTCCCTCGCCCGGTCGGGCGCGCCTTTGGGCGAAGCCCTGCCCGATCGGGTGAGTGCTTGGGCAAGGACTCTTCTTCAAATTCTTTGGGCTTGCACTTCTTGGCCCAATATACATTCCTTAACGGATCCAATGCCCGAGCTCCTCTTCTCTTCACCGAGCCCTTAATCACCGGATTGACTTCTCAAATACGATCCTGGGCTTCGGAATACGATCATATCAATACGTCCCCGCTCCAATGCTCGCGGTGGCTCAACTAAGTACGGGGAAATGCTCCAATTCTGAAATTTCCTATAAAATAATACCACAACTACGAAAACACTAGAAAACGCCTATTAGTAATAAAAGTGGCTCCAAAGA